CCCCAAAACCCCAAAACCCCAAAACCCCATGATGTTTATTTAAAAATTTTAAGTGAAAAATTGTAATTTATTGTAAAGAAATCAAAAAAAATTTCAATTTCTACTTGTTCGATTCAATTTAATACACCGATACAATTTCTAACAGAAAATGCTGAATTGGTCAATAATTTGTTCTAATTCCTGGAAATAATCAGTCTTATTATTTTCGCTGCTTTTGATTAATAATTAGTCTTTGTCTTGAATTACTTTATTAGTTTTTTTTATACATTTAATGTGAAAGCCTTGCCTTTTCTCCATTCCTTAATCAATTTAGCTATAACTCTGTGATAGATCTCTTTGCAGTTTTAGAATCCCCCTTGATTGATCATCAAACAGCATGATCTTCACATCGTGATGAACTTATCAACTTTGTTTAGAAATCATTAGTGAGGCCAATAATTTCTTCTCACGAGCTTGAATATCCATGGTATAGATAGGCTATTTCTCTTTTAAACGTTCAATTTTTACTAATAGAGATCATTATTTGAGTTTTTTAATCCTTTTAATCTAGATTTTCTAGTCCATTTTTGATTTGAAAGATTCATCATCAAGTTTCATAATAACTGATCTTTTTATGTAAAGCAAACCATTTATATAGTCAAGAGACTGATTATAACCTCCTTTGTTCTCATTATCAATGAAGAATCCAAAATAAATGATTCATTCTTATGCATTAATGCTTCTTGAAACTAGTAATTCTTATTCTAATCTAATAGTTATCTAATAATATTTAACATAGAAGAATAATTAACCGTAATTTTTGACCAATTACTCACACAAATCCCTTAGAAAATACTTATGAAAAGTGAGATAACATTAAAACAAGATGACTTGACTAAATACCATTCAAAAGTTCTTACACTATACGACAATACCAACTAGGAAATAACATCAATAGAAAACAATTCAGAGAAAGCACCTAAAGTAAACAAAGTAGTTGATGGTTATTTCAAGAAAACATTAATACTCATTAAGAACACAATTGGAAGTGCAGAGCGTTTTGTTAACCTTGTCAAGTAAACGTTGAAGCTAATTGTTTCAACAGTAGATGATGAACTTAATGATCTACTTTCGCTAACTTTAGAATCTCAAAAAAAAAATGATCTTAAGATTGAATCATAGGTTATAACCATATAAATCCTGCCAAAGAAGGCGAACTCTACTGATCTAAATTAAACTATTAACAAAGAGTAAATTTCTCAATAATTTATAAATTCAACAAGCAATAGTCTTAAAATTGGAAATAATACTTCGAATTCTTTGGTTAGCTATTCAGCTATCGAATAATCTGCTAGCGGTAGCTAGTTGTAAATAAATGAACTAAATGGAATAAAACATGATTTGTAAGAAATTCTCAATGTAGCGACAAATACATTGGCGAATACTTAAGAATTAGACAAAAATTTGAGTAAAATAAATTAGATACTTGATATGTCGCTTTATGCAAACTTTTAATCTGTGCAATTAGAGACTAAAAACAACGTTAGCCTAAACGAACTAGCGGATAAGGAAATCTCGATGTCAGTTATCTAGGAAGAAATAAAGTAAAAGGTTGATGCCTATCCAAATTATTAGAAGGATAAATAGATAGAAGAGAGTAAGAATTCACTTCAATTTAGTAATATGCATAAGGATTAGAATTAAGATAGGTCTTAATTAGGCAGAAAAGATCAGGATTAGCTCAAATTTAACAAAAGCTTTGACATATATGATCATAATAGGCAGTTATAAGAAAGTTAGTTCAATAACTTGCATTCGGAGAGCTCGAAAATGTCAAATAGCAATTATAACTAGCAATTAAACAAAATAAATAGCCTTGATAATGAATATCGAGATGAGCAACTCTAAAATAATACAATGTAAACGCAATCGAATGTCAATATATATGAGCAAACCTCAGGATATATTCTAGAGGAATAGCTGAAAAAAGAGAATGAAATAAGAGACTTAAGCGAAGAACAGCTTTATATCAATGCTTAAAAATTGTAAAATGATAGCATGTAAATTATCTCAGTTGACCCTGATATATGGGTAAAAGTAAAAGGATTAAGAAAGGTCAATAAAGATTTCTAAGGCAATCAAAGTAATTGTATCGCAGACAAGTAGTAGATTTAACTAGAGAGTGATAAGAAATAGACGATACTTTTCATCACTCCAGATGGAAATAATTTATTTGTCGGGTAAAATGACTTGATGTTAAAGACATACAACAGTGAAGATTTATCTACAGAACATGCTTATCTAATGATTCCATCAGAACCAATTTCATATCTACTTCATCAAGAACTCATCTATTTGGGGTTAAATAATGATACTGTTGCTATCTATGATCAAAGCAGTTATACATTATTGAGAGAGATTAAAACAAAATAAGTTCCTCTGAAGATTCTACCTTTCATTACTCAAGATATAAAAAGAGATCAAGAAAGTACTTATATTCTATTCCTTGAAAAAGATGGACATATTGAATTCTACAGCATCTAGGAGTAGAAAATTATTTTCAGTCACAAACACTCTTGCGGAATGAGTATCTAAGATGCAGTTTAGGTTTTCAATAAGAATCAAATTTGCTTAGGATTCGCCTAGTTAATCGATAATGTATACAAAGATGGTAAACTTGCGTTTGTTGAAATTAACATTAGAAACTATGATGATGATAAAAGAAAAAATCTCTAAAACCATAATTCTAACTCAAAGTAATAGATCACGATAAAAGAGCTGAATGAAGAAGATAGATTCATATAAAAGTCAGTATTTTGCATCTAGCAGATTTCAATGAATTGCTTTGTTGTTTGTGTCATTGATAAAAATATCAAGATCTTCAATAGAATTAACAACAAAGTCATTAAAGACATAGTAAATCCTTCATCAAGCATAAATTATAATGCTCTGAGAAAGATAGATGGCTTTGGAGATGAACTTCCTTATCTTTTGTTCAGAGATTCAAGAACAATTGGTATTATAGACTGTAAAACACTAGATGCATATTAAATCATCACTAATTCTAATTATAGTCGATGTGGAAACATTTATTGTCTAGAATAAAAAAGAGAAAATAATGGATAACTGAGTATATACACATTTACATTTGATAGAGAGTAGAATCAAAGAGAACTGTAGAAATTCTCTCTCAATATATAAAAAAATAAATGAATAGCTTGAATACTTAATATAATATGAGATGGGATAAAATGCATTATAATTGATAATGGTGATTGTGTTCAAACTATAAAAATTGATGCTTTTATTATTGCATGATTCTTGTGCATAAGTATTTGATTTATAATAGAGAGCAAATGCACTATTACAATTACGATGTATTAGATTATTTCTTTTATTTATTTTACTTTTGCCTAAAATACCCAATTAAAGGATAGACGGGGTTTTGGGGTTTTGGGG